GACAAGTCCACCAACCTAGTAAAAACAAGATCTCGCCTGAAAGCACTGATTTGTGCTTTTTGTGGCAGAGTTATTGTTTTCTTAAAGTGACTGCTTTTCATATAACAGAAGGTAGATTTTGTTTTTCTTGCATTACCAGAAGATTCTGTTGTTGACTTGTCATCCATATAGAGGGGAATGGGCAGCTGGTCTCCTTTGGCACCTTGGAAGTGCTCCCCCTCCATATACAAATATAAGTTGTTACAGGAGGTTAAAAAATGGTATAACTCAGATCTCTCAAAGTAACAACATGTTTCAGGAGCACTGGAGCTTTGGTCAGTTATATTGCAGTGTCTTTATTCTTTGCCTCTCAGCACATTTATGTTCTACCAGTTCCACAGCTGTCTTTCTCAGTGCACTTTGAAAGCCAGCAATTAAGTAATTACTACTAAAATGGATTAAAAATAATTTTAGCCGAAGTCTGAGTTCTGGGCTAAGTGGTTCTGTTTGCAGAGAGGTGGTACTATTTTCTGAGAGTAAATAAAGTCCTCTCACTGCTTTTCATATAAATCAACCAAAAATTGAAATATTTTATGAAATAGATGTGCCGTGATGAGATTTCATGGGAGATGTCACTGTGCTGCTTGCTCTCCTGAGGCTGTCGTATGTCACTACAGTCACACAACACTCCTCCTCATCATCAGCCCTGTCAGGGAACTTAGGTTTGGGTGAATATTTATTTTTGTCAATTTGAGTTTTTGTTTTGTATACTGATTTTGGTTGTGTAATTAGTGTTGTGTGAAATTAATGTATCTTGTGAAAATGTTCATGCTTTTCTGACTGACTAGAGAAATGGCTAAGAAAAAATGGCTCTGAGCCATTCAAAACAACACTGCTGAGAGATATTGGCACAATGTAAGTACAAGCTCCGTGGCAATAAGTCAGTGAGTAGTCAGTGTTAGTAGAGAGATAATACTTTTCTTTTTCAAACAGGAGAGAAGTTACCAGAGGTTGCAGTGGTTTCCTCTGGAGAGAAATATTCCTTGAGAAGAATTCTGTCAAAGTGTTCAGCTGGTGAGAACTCCAAGCACCTTTAGAGTACATCCTTGTACGCCATTAGTCCCTGCTGCTCTGAACTTGCACATCTGATAGATTTGCCTCAAGTCTAAAGAAGAAAGTATACCAATTTCTTATGTCCAAGTAGAATTTCAACAGGACTACTGAGACCTGTCAGAATAAATTCTGACTTCTTCACATCATTCATTTTAGTCTGCAGTTTTTCAAGATTCTGTGTGCTTGTTTTTTGGCAGAAGGGCTCCTGGTGACCATTTTCCAGTGAAATCTGGTGCAAAACAATGCTTCATTTCAAGGGAAATTATGGTTGTGAATATGTCTTGTTGTGAAGAAAATAATACCTTGTGGATTGCTATTTGATAATTGCTGACATTCATTTTGACAATGAAATCTTCAGCTACTCCAGTAGCAGTCCAAATTTTGCACGTTGAAACACATTCCCAGGACACTTTGCCTTAATAAGAGTAGTAGAAAAGCCAGATAGAGATTACTGATTTGAGTTTTAGTTTCCTTAGAACTGATCAGGTTTTATCAGCCTATAACAGGTCTCTATCGAATTACAAAAAGAGTTGTTCCAAACTGAAGGTCACTGAAGCTGAAAAGAGTAATGCTATTTGACTCTCATGTACAGCGTAAGGTGCATCAAGACCATTGCCATCAGTGACGTTTTGACTTTAAAAAGATGCTCCAACTTTGAAAAGATGGATCTTTGTCTCACACTCTGGGTACTGCATCACCTCGATGGGCATCTTCCTTAATGTACTGTTATTCAGCATGTAACGACTGCCTCACTATCAGATTGTCATGGTTTTATCCCTTTAAAACAGAAGAACAAGGAAGAAGGGACTGTACCATAGATTATACTACTGAACTGAAGAAATTCTGTGCTCGGTTTTTGCTAAAGCTGTGGTTGATGCAGGCTTCACAGCCTCTTCCCACCCATCACTTAAAATCTCACTCCCCAAAATGCCTTCATGTGAATCATCTTAGAGCATGGGGCACTGCATCTACATGCAATGGCCCCCTGAGTTCCATCCACATACATGCTCCACATCTCCTGCTCCTCCTGGCCTCCATCCAGTGACTAATGGATGAGGGAGCAAACACTGATGGCATTTAAGGTCCCAGAATAAGACAGAGGCACAGCCCAGGGTTTGCACATGGCTTTGCTGCAGGTAGTGCAGGAAAACCATCTCTGTGAATGCACTGCTCCATGAGAGACCTTTCAAGACATACTGTACTCACATTTGAACAAAGGGTGATGACCTGGAAGTGTTTCTGTGGTGGTTAAGCATCTGCCAGAGATGCAGCAAAGCTGTATTCTTAATATCCTTCTGAAAACTACTTTACAATGCAAGATCACCAGTAATTTGTAATTGAGTAATTGAGTGCTGAGTGCGAGAGTCAAACAAAACATGGGATCCTAACTACATTCAGCATGTTACTAACACAGATCAATAGCAACCTCCTGTTTTGATGAAGCTATAATCCTCACTGATGAAGCAGGTCTGTGCAGTCTAATAATACAATACTTAGTCTTTCAGCATCCTCACAAGAGCCATTCCTTCATTGCACTGAAGAATTAAGAGAATAATAACATTTTGCTGTTAGTAACATCTCAGCTGTAGGAGGTTATACCAGATCTCTGAGGAATCTGAGAGGTTGGCAGGCTAGTGTTCTCCAGGTGGATTCCAGGTGAATCACTTCAGGATATGCCCAATTTTACAGGGATGGGGGTGACAGTCATATGGAGCGCCCAGCACAAGAAAGATGTGGAGCTGTTGAAGAGGGTCCAGAGGAGGCCACAAAGATGCTCAGAGGGCTGGAGCACCTCCTCTATGAAGACAGGTTGAGGGAGCTGGGCTTGTTCAGCATGGAGAAAGCTCCAGGGAGAACTCTCTGTGGCCTTCCAGTAACTAAAGGGAGCTTACAACAGGAGGGACACTGATTTCTTACCTGGGCAAGAAGTGATAGGGCAAAGGAGAATGGCTTGAAACTAAATGTATATATGTATGTATGGAGTGTAAGGTTAGTTGCCAGGAGGAAATTCCTTACTCAGAGTTTGGTGAGGCCTGGCACAGGCTACTCAGGCAAGCCATGGATGCCTATTTAACCCAGATACAAGCCTGTAGATGTTTTTACTTCTGACAACCAATTCCTTGGCCAGTCTGTTGCTTTGAAGAACAAAAATTGAATTTGGAGTCAGTTTATTTTCACACTGATTTTAACTATGTTACTGTTCTTCTTCTACTTGAACTGGAGTTTGTATGCCATAAAGCATTCCATCCAGTAGCAGGTATCCTCTGATGCATTGTGGTTGCATAATTCTGTGAAATACAGTGCACCATGGGCAGCATAAATTCAAAAAGGAAACAAGAGCTTCCCTGGATTATACAAAGGAACAGCAAGGTTATACACCTAGGCTGTTAGCATCACTCTAACAAACATTCCAACTTGGAAAAATCAGACACAAAGCAAAACAATTTCCTGTTGTTTCCACTTCTTATTTTCTCAGAGAGTGTTGGAAAAATGAAAACGTGCAGGACAAAATCTTTATGCTGAAATCTTTACTTTCATCTTTAACTACTTCACAGAAGAATTCATATCTAACTTCAGCTTGGAAATGCTTCATAGCCATGCCTCACTGCACCTCCTTAACTTAAAATCATGTTTAGTTTGCTGCTGCTTTTGAGAGGTCAGTCTAGTTCCTGGCACCCAAATGTTCTTATGGTGTGATTCTTCTTACCTTGTCAGTTTTCTCCTGAGGGAAAGCTCAACTCAAACTTACTTCCATCAGCAGCAGAACCAGGCTGGATCCAGTAAGCTTAGGAATAGGTTTTCTGCTAGTAAACTCCAAGACTGTCTTTTCATGCCTCAAAATTTGCCATGGGCAACTTTGTTGACTTCCAATATCAGTTCTATTCAGACAACTCATTCTTAAGTCTCTTTCTTCCATGCAGACCTATTCCCTTCTACTCATATTTTAACAACATGGATAGAAGGTATTTTGATTTCACCTCCCGAGCTGTAGCATTGCCTCTGTGCTGTGAGACAAAAAGGGCATCTTTTTTTACTTTCATGGCTTTTCTTTTATTCCCACGCTTATACAACAGTGTAATGATGGGAAATGAGGAGCAGTTCTGTTTCGATCGAAGCACTCATCTCTTTGCTTAGATGTGTTCATGCTGTACTGAGCACACATAAAGGAGATTCTCTGTCTGAGCACATGCACCAAAAAAGTCATAGGAAAATGGATTTTGTGAGCTGGCTTGTCTGTCAGGAGAGAATTCAGCACACTTGGTTGCTCCTGTCAGATGCCCACTGTAAATCTATTTGCCTTTGTATTTAATTACCTGGAATACTGTCAAGGAATTCCAGCGCATGATGTTTTTCCTATTTCAAGGCTCAGATATATTTTCTGTTAGATGCATATATCCATTCCTCCTGCTGCAGAATCAGTCCTGGGTGAGAAAAGCAAAGTTGTTTCATCCCTGAATATTTTGACATGCTCACTCGGGTGAGGACCAAGCAATAGTTAAAACAGATGCTTTTGAGTAAGCTTGTTTTACTCAGCACGTGGAGAGCCAGGAGGATTCTTCCCCCACCCCACAGCCACGGCCACCCTGCCTCTTGCCTTTCCTCCTTCTCCTGCACTCTCACACATTCCCCCAGAGGCAAGGGTGCGGGTGTCTGTAAATGTGAAGGTCACCTGATAGGATGCTCCCGCTCCCATCTCTCCGCACAGCGTAAGCTCTTCTCTCCTGGTGACTGTGGAAGCAACTCTCCAGGCTTTGCTCTGCTTAGCAGGCTGCAGAGTTTGCTGCAAATGCAAAACTGAAGTCCATCTTTGCACCTCTTACTTAACAAGGGGCTTCAGTGTCTTCTTGCTCTCAGTTCCTGGCTTACCTCAAATCTCTCTTCTCAAAAGGTCTGTTCTGCTTCTGGCGATGCATCCCACGAGGCGGCTATGTTGGTGTCTCCCTGCTTTTGGTGCATGGGCATTCATGCTCACATTCTTAATTACAGGTAGGCTGTCTTTGGTGTTAGTCTTGTAGAGTATTTTCTAGTCTCTGTTTCTGATTCTATGGAATGAATGCAATTTAAAGCTTCTATTGTCTATTCCTAACTTGAAACTTGTAAGATTTCAACAGTATTTTGAGAGAGCTACAACAATATTAATTTTCACAGCTAGAATTCTTCATTTTATTCTGAGAACTAATTGAGGAACTGTTTCTAGCAAAGAATGACAATGATAGAGAAGCTCTCACAATTTTGCTCGATGCTTGAATTTTGAATTTTGCCACTGCTTTAATAATGCACACTGAAGCACATTCTGTGCTCACATCTCCAAAAGTGAGAACTCCTATGCATTTCATTCACTGCTGTTTGTGATCTGTTTCTGGTGCAGTGATCTCCATGCATCTCACTGAATTTCAGCAGGATTCCTGCTTTTAAGTCACTACGCCTTTTCTGAATGCCTGCAGGACCAGGACATTTCTGAGTTACAGCATTTATATTAGCAGAGCACAAAGTCATTGTCATAAAGCAATACCAAAAGGATGAGCATCTGCAACTGGAGTATAAAAACGAGAGGCCTACATATTTGCCTGCTTCTACTACTTTAAGTCTGTTACTAAGCCAGCAGGAAAAATTCAGACCAAACATGATTTTAGACTCACTGGCTTTGGATGTGAGACTATGGCAGGAAATCCGTGTTCCCACAGCAGGGGACTTCTACTCACAGCCTGATGGATGGCTCTAAGGAGATCTGAAAAGGAAACTGCAATTTCCTTTTTAAATGACACAAAACACAATGTTCAAACATCCAAACTCTGCAGACATTTGTGTCTCTTCTCTAGAAGTTGCAAAAAGGATGGAACAAAATGCCAAATCATGCAAGTTCTACTGGCATATTTGCTCATAAATGAAATCAGCAATAACCAAAGTTTCATCTTTAAATCATGATAATCCTCTGAATCTGAGCATGCTTTATTAATGCAGAAGGCTCACAACCAAGGAAAGAGTGGCCCAAACAATTAAAATAATGTTTTTTAGAGTAAGCATATCTTCCTGCAGGACATCTGTGTGATCACAGACCAGAAACCGCACGATTCAGTCTTTCCTTTTAAAATCAAAGTCTTTTGTTTCAAGCACAAGGAAAATGCCTGTATCAGATTTGAGGTGTGTGTAACAGATTCAGAGCACTTTTATTGTTTCTGCAGTGAGGCTGTTCAGGGCCTGCCCTACACCTTTTTCCTACGAAACTCTAATCTGTCCCATACTAACTGGGAGTTCCAGCTCTGTCGGATGTGCTTGTTCCCAAAGAGTGTTCTCTCTTACAAAACCTCCATCTTTTTCTCACTGAACTTAACAAATGGACATCCTTCAGAGCAGAAGTAAGCTCTGTATCTTGATACACAGAACAAAAGACTGGAGCGGCATGTTATTTAGCACCTACTTTCCCTCTTCCTTACCTCTGAAGTACTTGTTATTTATCTTTACCAATGCAGACACCACAGCCTGCGAGTCAGAGGAACGGCTATTTCACAAACTCTTCTCCCACTACAACCAGTTCATCAGGCCGGTGGAAAATGTATCTGATCCCGTCACAGTGCATTTCGAATTGGCCATTACCCAGCTTACAAATGTGGTAAGATTGACTACAGAAGACTGCTGAGATTTGGGCATGATTGTAAAACACAGAAAGTGTTCCAACAGCAGACGTACTCATGATGTCTGCGCATACAGCCCTCACAGCTGGTATTATCATGCCTGTGCCTATGTGTACACAGTGAGATGTTTGCCATTCTGTCAGCCAGGTCACTTCAGCTCCTCATACAGGCAGTTCACATTGTACAGATTCATTGGCTATCTCTATCATGTCAAATCCCTCTGCTCTAGGCAGCAGCCCCTGGTATATGGAGCAGCAGTACCAAATGTTCACAGTCACAGGGTTTGCCTACCCCAGGGACATGGGATTGTATTTGTGCTGTCTAACATGCAGCCTAGTTCTCCTGTGGATCCATTTGGATTTTATCAAGTGTCATGGGTTTGGGAAGGGCCTAGTTACCTTGCCCATTAGACAGGAGCCCAACAAGGCTTTCAAAACTATCTTGTTGCTTAGTCCTCTGTCCTCAGTGATAAAAATTATCTGCATTTTCTGTATTCTTTGGTCTGTAAGTATTTTAAAATTTTTGACATCATATGTTTACATATTAAGAACTACACAAAGCAATATTCTCACAGATATTTTCATTGGATATGTTAGGCTGCATTCATATATACTTATAACCTGTATCTTTCCAAACACTTTTAAACTGAAGGCTACTTAGAACAGGATCCCATCTTTTATTTTTGTGCTTTTTGCAGCACCCTTATGATTCACTGCTGGTTGACAACAGCAGTAAGTGACTCTAAAAATAAGTTTTCATTGCAGCAGTGATTTAACTTAGTGCAGGTTTAGTTCATATGCTGCACAACTTCACATAGAAATGCAAGAACTGTACTGCAGATGTTGTTTTCCTCGAATTTTGTCCAGTACTGTACTATGTAAACAGAGTGTTTTAAAAACTGAGCCCAACAAAACACAGGGACACCAGTAGAACCTTATTCCTCTGCCATTGATCAGAGCAGCTGTAAGTTTGTTGTCCTCCATACACTCAGGCCTCTGGCAAGTGCAGCTCTCTTCCACACGTGTGGGGCATAATTTTTCAGCAGAGCCTTAACATTTTTTTGGTAGAGCTGCAGTTGTCTGTATACAACTTGTAACCCCCACCCTGAAAATAGCCCAGCTCTGTCCAGTTATCTTTATTATCCACTCGAGTGCCACTGACCACACGCAGAAAATAGCTGATGTCAGTTAATGTGGAATTCTGGTTTCTATTTTTGTCGGAATAAGACTATGGCCATCTCAGCATACTATAAATGATATATGAGTGAAGATGTGCATGCCTGTGTTTCTTTCTAGGATGAAGTCAATCAGATTATGGAAACCAATTTGTGGCTAAGACATGTAAGTGACTGCATTGCATTTCTCATACACTTTGCATTAATGTGATGGAATGTTAGGTCTATATAATAAGTGTTCTGTAATATGGTTTAAGAGGTACAAATTAGGAGACACTACATTAGCAAAATTTGAATAAGTAATTTCTTCTTCTTTTTTTTTTTCTGAGAAGTTATATATCCCATCTTTCCTGTGTTCTGAGTTTTCATTATCACTGGTTTACCACTAGTAAATTTAGCTGAATATACACTTTAAGAGTGATTAAATATGCAACTCTGTGATCCTAAGTCAACTCCATATTAAAGATTCTAGTGAAAACATTTCTTATCAAAAAGAACATGCCTTAACTTCACCTGATGGTTTAAGCACATATACATAAGCAAAGATCCCTACAAAATCTTAGCTGCTGAGAGAAACAAGCTATCTTTCACCAAAACAGTTTCCTCCAGACCCTGTTAGTGATCCACACAAAGTTTTCTTGAGAAGTTATGGTACTTAAGACCAGGCTGTGAGTAGGCTGTGAGAACTTGGACATAGCCCAGTGATAAATCACTAGAGAGCAATGAAAGGTGTCTTTAGCTGCTACTGAGCTCATAATTCATTGCCCCTATAAAGTCAGTAATGTTTCCCAGCCACACCAACCTGACATTGTGCACAGGCACCTCCTTTCCCTTTAGGTAGTTTGTCTCCTTTGATGTTGGTCTCCCTTAGCCTTCAGGACCCAATCCAATATGGGCAGCAGCAAGGACCATGTTTCTTGCTTGCAGTGCAGAGTAGCACTGCTATACACTGAGGTAGCAAGCCAGAGGAGAGAGCTCAGCATGTCAGCAGTGAATCGCTGTTATCATAGCTCCTCACAGAGCAAGAGATGGCAAGACAATGTGAGCAATGCTCACCTATGCCCCCTGTTTCTCCAGCTTATGATTTTGATGTCTTTCGGATCACTCATGACTCTCTTCTACTCATGATTCTCTTCCAGTCTCTATCGCAACCTCCCATTCATGAGGAAGATCTGTGAGGCAGATACTTGCTGATAACACAATGTTTATACTTCTAATCCGTTCTTCTTTCAGATTTGGAATGACTACAAATTGCGATGGGATCCCAGAGAGTATGATGGAATTGAATTTGTTCGGGTACCAGCAGATAAAATCTGGAAACCAGATATTGTCTTATACAATAAGTATGATGAACACTTTTCCATTTTGCTCCTTCTCTGAAAAGTATCATCTTGCTGTATCCATAAGATACATTATTTTCCTCTTGTAGCATTTTCTTCTCTTTGCCTCTTTTGTCTTTCTAGTGCTGTGGGAGATTTTCAAGTTGAAGGCAAGACCAAAGCCCTTCTTCGCTACGATGGAATGATCACCTGGACCCCCCCAGCTATATTTAAAAGTTCCTGTCCTATGGATATTACTTTTTTCCCATTTGATCATCAGAACTGCTCCTTGAAATTTGGCTCATGGACTTACGACAAAGCCAAAATTGATCTTCTGATCATTGGCTCCAAAGTAGACATGAATGAGTTTTGGGAAAATAGTGAGTGGGAAATAGTTGATGCTTCTGGCTACAAACATGACATCAAATATAACTGCTGTGAAGAGATCTACACAGATATAACATATTCATTTTATATTCGAAGATTGCCAATGTTCTACACTATAAATTTGATTATTCCCTGCCTCTTCATCTCATTCCTGACTGTGCTAGTTTTTTACCTGCCTTCTGACTGTGGTGAGAAGGTGACTCTTTGCATCTCTGTTCTGCTTTCTTTGACTGTATTTTTACTAGTGATCACAGAAACAATTCCATCTACCTCTTTAGTAATACCTCTCGTGGGTGAATATTTGCTCTTCACGATGATATTTGTGACTCTCTCCATCGTCATCACTGTGTTTGTCCTAAATATACATTACAGAACTCCAACTACACACACAATGCCCAAATGGGTAAAAACTGTCTTTCTTAGCCTGCTCCCCAAGGTTCTGTTGATGCAGCGGCCTCTAGAACAGGAGAAAAAAAACATCTCCAAAGAGACCAAGAAAGGATCAGCCAAAGCATCAGGCAAAGCAAAGCACAGGAAACACAAAGATAACAAATTACATAAGGAGCACTGGTGTTGTCACTGTGATAAAGCAGCTGAACTCACCTCAACCAAAAGAAGTCAACTGAGTCATCAGTCATTGAAATGGATGGCAGAGCACACAGAGTACTCCCCAGAAGTGAAAGATGTCATCAACAACGTTCAGTTCATTGCAGAGAACATGAAGTCTCAAAATGAAACCAAAGAGGTAAGGGAGGTAGCAAGCTGAGCACAAGGTCACGCTTGCAGAATTTCATGGAAGAATAGCAAGCAAGGCAAACAACTGTGATGTAGGGTTTCAGTATGTGTTTCAGTACGGTGATTTCTGACAATTTTTTATATTTTTGCAGTGGTTTGACTCACTGTGCCTTCAGCAAGGCATTACTTCCAATTTTAAAATAAAAGTTTTGAGTTTGGGGGAGGCAGATAAACAAAAACAGACAATAGGTGAATAAGATCCACACACATACAGGCTTTTTTTAATTAAAAAAAAAAAAAAAAAAAGAGAATTGCCACTTGAACAAATAGATTAGCTTGTGTAAGGCTATAAATCTTTCATCCTAGCTAGGATTGCTGTGATAGAAAGTGATGTACATTGGAATCTTATGAGTGCAAGAGCCAATTTTTTGGGAGTAAACACAGAACTAAAAGCAGCTTCAATGAAGATTATCTCACATAAGCACTTGCCAAAGCCTCATAAAGAATTAAAACTCTTTGACACTTCAAGATGGTTTGTTTTTAAAGAGTTTTGATCCTAATGAAACATTTACTTTTGCTCTAACTTTAAATGTGGATGCTTTTTAGATGCTATGAGAAGACAAATTCCATTTCAAAATTAAAAGCTACTGTATTTCTATCACAAAAAAGCCGATATTTTGCACGATAATTATTGAGAGATATTCTTTCAATCCAAATATTTGGTTGAAATCAGCACCAATTTATACAATTTCAATGTAACCCCAAAATTCATTCTTCCTCCCTCCTCTTTCCCCTCCCCCCCCAACTTTTTTTTAATGTCCTGCAGAAAATTCATCTGAAAACAAAGTGCATAACTTTGAATATTGGGCTATAGCTAAGGCCTGGTGACAGGATGAGACCAAAGAAAAGGACAGGAGTCCAGCAGTACACAGTAAGGCAGGGATTGAACTGAGTCTTGCTTAGTAACTATGCCCCTAATGCTTTGTTTCACCCCAGCATTTCAGCCCTGTTTCCAGTGCCACAGCATCAGAAAATATACCCTTGTACTGCATTCAGCTGATTTCTTCGATGCATTCCAAATAAGAGGAGACTTTGTGTGAAGCAGTTCAAGTAGTGTGCCACTTTGATTATGAAGCCCATGATAAGTCTTTCATTTCCAGTCATGCTGATTCACATTTTGCAAACCTCTTCTGCCACATGCAATTCTACTCTTAGTCTGGAGTGTGCATCAGCAGCTCTGCATCTCACCTTTCACAGTGCACCAAGGATTGGAGACAGGATTTCTCATGTGGGAAAAATCCTTTCTCTGTTTTTTTTCTCCAATGAGCACTGAGCAAATTATTCCAGAGGCTTCTGCTTTGTTCAGATGTATACAGCTATGTGCATGCTGTTATGGACATGTCCCATATGAATAGAAGCCCTTTAAAAATGACAGATTTGTTGGAATTGAAAGGAATCTCTGGAGATCATCCAGTCCTGCCCCCTGCTAAAGCAGATTCCCTACATTAGGTCGCATAGACAAGCAACCAGAAAGATCTTGAATATCTCTGGAGATTGTGGAAGAACTTAGGGAAATTGTGGAAGCACAACTGTAGCTAGAGTTCATGCTGTATGTCCTTTCAGAAGAACTACAGTGAGGAGAGGAAAACAAGTGGAGAGAACTCTTAAGCAGGGATCTCTTTACCACTCACTGGTTTTATGTGAATGAGTGCTCTTTGATGCAGTGATCCTCATGCACAGGCATGGTTCCAAGGACAGTGACTTCATTGAAAGCTGTTCCAGCGTGTATCCCCGAAACTTACATTCACTCCAGCCTGTTCAGCACATGGCACAGCTTTGCGTAGTCAGGATGTTTGCTTTTCTAACGCTCATGTGCTCAGCTGTCCATTTCACTGGAGGCAGAGTGTTTAACTGGAATGGCAGTGCAGCCAATCATGCCAGAGCAGCAGGCTGTCTCGTATGTGGGCAGCCAGACCAGATCCTTTGGCAGGATCCAGCCATGTGCAGCTGCGGTGACTCAGCCTCCTGCCACATCACCTCAATCTACACCCGTCACATGGTCTCATTCTATTTGCTGCTGTCAGACACAGCCACATTTTGCCAACCGACTGGAATTCTCAGGAAAAAAAATCAGTAGAAGATTAGGAGAATGCTTAATGTTCTCACCCAGAAGTTATAAATACTGTTAAGAAAATAGACCCCTCTTAAGAAAACTGAACAGCTATAAACACCACAAGCAATGTTTCTGCCAGGATGTATGTTCTTCCTTGTTCAAAAGCAGAAGGGACATTTTTTTACCATTAAATGCTAACTCACAATTATGTGTTACATTACACGTAATCTATCCTTTTTTTTTTTCTCTTTCAGGTGGAAGATGATTGGAAATATGTAGCTATGGTGATTGACAGAGTATTTCTCTGGGTGTTTATAATCCTTTGTGTGTTTGGGACTGCTGGATTATTTATCCAGCCACTAATAGCAGATGAATAACTTGAGTCACTCCTTTTTTTTCCACGTATGTTGGTATTCCATTTTCAGTTTGGAACTGCCCCCTGTATTCCTCTCCTCTTATGTCATCCCTCAGCATCTAGCTTCAGTGGAGAGAAGGGAAGCAAGCAATAATCCAAGGCAGAATGAGAAGGGTACTGAAAATGTGCAATGAGCTTTTGGTCTTTCTAAGGCAGAGAGGCTGCGATTTATAGAGTAGCTGTCTGTCTTCTCAATTAGATCTTCAGTAGCAATTGCACCAAGAATCACTGTAGTGGGCAGAAATTGATTTTTTTCCCATGGTTTCAGTTCAGGGGGCCATTGTGAGTGATTTGTGCTAAGAGAACAAAAGTCTTATTTTTCTTTCCTCATCACAACTCTTACATTTCTTTCCTTGTACAATGCTAGACATCAGCATGGCGCTTAGTTGAGGTAACACAGTCCTACTGACTCAATCAACACTCTTTACTGTGCTTTTGGGACAGGGCAGGCAAAAATCCAAATAAAAGTACAATCAAACAAATCCCTTGACTCTGTAATGTTTACACAATCCCCATCTTATACAACACATGAACACAAATGAGGATCTGAGATCAGCAGCACATGTACTTAGTTTTATGCTTGAAGCCTAATAGGTCTTAAGCATTTCTCACTAATGACAAACCTGCTTAATATGCTGCAGTGCACAGTCTTTCTAACATTGTTTGGAGCAGCTTTTTGAAAAAGGACCTGAGGGCATTATTTTACAGCTGGCTGACCATGAGTCAGCATTGTGCCCAGGTGGCCAAGAAGGCCAACGGGATCCTGGCTTGTTTCAGAAGTAGTATTGCCAACGGGAGAAGAAAGGTGACCATCCGTCTGTACACAGCACTGGTGAGGCTGCACCTTGAGTCCTGTATTCAGTTTTGGGCCTCTCTCTACAAGAAAGACACTGAGGCCCTGGAGTGTGTCCAGAGAAGGGCAACAAAGCTGTGAGGGTTCTGGAGCACAGGTCTTATGGGGAGCTGGGATCGTTCAGTCTGCAGAAGAGGAGGATGAGAGGAGACTTTATTGCTCTGAAAGGAGGCTGTGGAAATGAGGGTGTCTGCCTCTTCTCCCCAGTAACAGCAACAGAATGGGAAGGAATGGCCTCAGGCTGTACCAAGGGAGGTTCAAGTTGGGAAAAACTCAGAAAAGTGGTGCTGCAGTGGCACCCAGCGAGGGGGTGTAGTCAGCTTCCTTGGAGGTGTTCAAGAACCACGTGGATGTGGCAATGAGGGATGTGGTTAGTGGGCACTGTGGGGATTCGCTGATGGTGGGACTTGGTGTATTTAGAAGTCTTTTACAACCTTAAACGATTGTGTGATTCTATGATCTTAGGGGCACCAGAGAATAACCTGGATGCAATATGTAAAAGCATAAAAGACCTGAGGCATCCATGATTAAAATGTAAAGCATATACATTTGAGATCCACATGCCTCAGAATCTTTAAAAGCCATTTTATTCATCATATTTGTGACCAAATTCCCCTTTATTTCCCAGTACTGAGTATTAAAATCAGTGGTCAGCTCCAGGAGGATATGCAAACCACATTCCTTACATCAGCCTGTGGTCCCAGTCCACAGAGGCTGCTCTGAAAATACTTTCTTGCTCAGGTTCACTTGTAAGCCTACTTGGGAAGCAATTGTCCCTGGGCAGCTATTCATCACAGACAGAACTGGATGGGCAGCATTGATTTTATCTGTTTTCAAAACCAGGTCCAAATTAGATTACACATATCATGTCAAAAGAAGGCAGATTATCATTAATCCTATGCAAAGGTAGGCACTTTGATCCAAACGGCTCTGCAGAAGCTCCTGTCAGAACAGTCCTGGGTGTGCAACCTGTTCTGCAACTGTAGGGACACTCTGGAGCTGGAGTTTCTCTTGGGTAACCAGGTAACCAAGCTTAATCCTGAAACACTTGGTAGCTGTGCACCTAATGTGGTTTCTAAACTATGTGGACACTTCACCCTCAGGCCCTTTGCCTATTTTGTCCCTGTTGGTTTTGTACCTAAGGATTCTTAAAGGGCATCATTGCTATTCCAAACAGCAGCTTCAAGAGTAAAAAGGTTTTCTCTGCTATAGGCTGTCTTAACTCTTAACTGTGCAGTATCAGTACAATGTTTTCAGAGCGTGCCATGCACCAATCTTTACTTCAGACAGTACTGTTCCTTGGCAGAAGAGAATCATTCTGAAGACCCTGATTGGCTTTTTACTCTTTTTCTGCTCATATTAAAGACAGTGAAGCTGAAATATAAGGCAGAGGCAACAGTGGCATGACAAGAATACATATTTGAAGTATGTAGCCACTCTTTTCTAGAAGAAAATCTTTTTTTCTATAGCCTGCCTGAATGTTGCATAATAGTGTAGTGAGAGTCAGACAGATGTATGAACATACATTGTTTATCAACCTGCCAGTTAAATATTACTCCTGGAACACACTTGAAGAGCTTGCTGCACAATGTGTTAAGATATGTTATCAAACGATCTCTCTGTGATAGCTCATTAATCAGCAAGAATAGAAGGGGAAAGAGAGAGAATTTGAAGAGGAAAGCTGCATTCTGTGCCTGAATGTTTTATTTTGACAGGAAAGGCATCTGATTTCCAGCATTTGCTGTTGAACCTGTGGCCATACAGACAGTGAAAATAACAGAATGGCTGGAGGTGAATGCAGGGCTGATTATATATTCCACCAGTAAGCATACCACCGGTGGCGATCAACTTTCTTTCCCTGAGAGTGTTCACATCTGTGAATTTATTTTAAAAATACTGTTCCCAGAAGCAGTTAGATAGCTCAGCCAGCTCATCGCATTCTCTTCCCAAGGGAGACCATCCTTCCAACTCTCCCTCACAAAAAGGCCCGCAGGAATTCAGCGTGTTTGTCTCCGGGTGGATGGAAGATACATATGGTCCTGCCATGCAGCACTGTGTCCCTGGCAAAGCAGAGCCAGGTATCAAGATGTCACACTTTGGGCAGAGAAGGCAGAAGGCTGGGTTTTCTTTTAAGATTTTAAATTTGAAAGGTCATCATCCACAGGCACATGGAGCAGAAGGAAGGAACCCAGCGGGAGGAGTGCTGCACAGATGTCCTTTCACATTGTGTTTTTTAGTGAGATGCGCTGAATGCATTTCTGGGCCTGAGGGAATAAGATTCAGGGAAGCTCAGAAACAGTCAGCATGAATAATAGGCAGAGAGACTAAAAATGTAGCAGTTCTGGGGGCTGTGCTAGGAGCACCAGAGGTCAAAAGCCAAGAGGATTGTGCAGCACTCACACTTCTCCCAGTCCATGCACCTGAGCCCTCTCAAACAAAACAGGAAAAAGCAGCTTGCAGTCTGATATGGTCACATAATACAAAGAGGTCTGCTGTCTGCAGGTTGGAGACTGAATTGAAGCAAGGTAAGGACAGCATCATCTGCCAGCTGAGTACCTGGAGCACTTACACAGAAGAGAATTCTGTCATCCACCATCACTAATAGGCAGCCCCTTGGCACTAACAGTCAGTGGGAAAATCCAGCACTTTTGATTTCAAGAGTCTTTGATTGCTGGAAATAGGTTTTCCTATGGATATTTCACAGTACTGGTCAGGGTAACAAAATGATTTGAACAGTGCATGGAAAGAAGAACAGGTTAATGTGTGAGATCTATACATCAGTGTCTACATTGAGACACCTGTCTGAATATGCTAAACTACATAGATCTGCTCTGGGATCCTGCAATATAATAGCCAACTCTTCCTCCTCAAACTCATGCACACAGGTTAAAAGTTATGAGTACTTTCCAAAAACAAGCAAAATCATGCATTGAATAGATTTGAAACCAGCGTTTTTTTAATGAGGGCTAGAAATTGGACGGGCAAAGCAAAAAGTTAAGAACACCTTCAGACTAACGTAAGAGCGTTCTCACTTCTGAGAATCATTTACTAAACACAATTTTATTGATTATGTTTGCCCAAGTGAACTTCAGTGACGAAACAAGATGGGATGATCTGAACTTACAGAGTCTGGCGTGCACATGTCATACAACACAACAATATACCTTTGGATATTTTAAACACCTTCTGACCTCCACCCTTAGAGAGAAAGTTTCAAGGTTAACTAAAGCTTTAGCAACAGGTTTACATTTATGTTGTCAGAAATTGGATTTCCAATCACTTGTTAGCCTCAAAAATGCCTACAACTTCTGAGAGAAGTTTTCAAAAGGATGTAATGATAGCAAAGCATTGTCCCAGGGAATGCAGAGGAGACCCTCACCTGTGCATTTTCTCTTCTAATAATGCAGAAGGATTCCATTTAAATGCGTCAAAGCAATGAAATTCTGAACTGACTGAGAAACATGGACAAGCCAACACCAAACATGTACCCTTCTGGCAGCCAACACACCCCACAGCTCTTAGGAGAAAAACACTTCAGCACCAGTGACAAGCTTCATTTGCCACAGATGATCTTGTATCTCCTCCAACTGAATTACTTCGGAAGATCTTTGTTGCCACTTGGAGCAGCATGGTTGTGGGCCTTCAGCAGATGTCCTCCAGGTGATCTTCCAGTCCTGTGAACATGCAGGTGCAGGAATCATAGTTTCCAAACGTGGAGGAGCATGGGAAAAGCCCTCACTTGTTCAGCCTTTAATTATCTTCCACAGCATGAGGCAAAAATGAATATTGTACAGAATTATAATAATGCAACTTCCTGATGGCCAAGAGGAGAGACAAAATGTGCATGCTGTAGTTGGTAGTAGTGGTTGGTAGTGTTGGTTGGTAGTGGGTGGGCAGAGTTCTAAATTCTGCCATGCTTGAGCTGGTCCTGAAGGTATGGCCACAGAGTAGAGGTTTTGGGTATCCCATCTAAAAGTTGTTCACGCTTTTTTTCTAATGCACATGCTATATAATTGCCAGTTCTGACACATGTAGAAAGCTATCTGTAAAGACTTCGTGGTTTTTACTTGGTAATGTAGATAAACTGAATACTGACTTGCTACTGTGCACTGAGAACTGAGCACAATGTTGCTACTATACTCTAATTTCTTTAATTAAGTAGTATTTTAACTGACACATCTGCTCTTTACACATAATGGTTGTGCCAGAACTACTATCCCCAAGTATAACTAATAATCCCTGCAATATAATATAAATAACAATATAATGATATTGTATTATAACCAAACTACTAGTAAAATACTTATAACTCATTTATGCATCCCCAATTCAATTTTGGATTCTGCTGTTCACCAAGCCCTTCTCCAGTCTCCACCAAGGTTGTAACAGTCAGAGCCATGTGCAGGAAGTAGTAACCAATGCCTGATGCTAACATCACCTTCTCTTGCTCTTGCATTGCTTCCCATCCTGAAGAACAGAAACCAGTCTCAAAGGCACCACTATCCCACGTCATTGGGCTTGCTGT